AGAGAGTGCAGCGGAAGAAAAGCAAAAGAAAGAGTGGAAACAGGAGGGAAGAGTGGAGCACAACGTTCCACAAATAACAACTATCAAGAAATCTAAAATGCAGGGAACAAGTCCACATCACCAACAGTAATCATCTATTTGTGTTGCACCATTTCTTATTTTATTCTTCTTCTTCTTTTTTTTTTTTTTTTTTTTGAGAGAGAGAGATGTGTTGCACCATTTCTTGAAAAACCAGAACCTACCCGTTTAGCAATCATTTCTCATTTGAGGTAATCAATTCTTGACAACAATTTGTGTCACCGTAATAAAATCCAAATCATTCATAAATAAAGAAGCGGTAGGTATTCAAGTAAGGAGGAGTTGGGAAATTAAGAACGGTTGTTGTTCTCCATCGTTGACGAGTTGGAGGGCAAGGGCGGGTAAGTCCTTAACCAAAGATCGATTGGTTGCACGATTAATATTGTATCGGAAATGTCTGCGCTTTTACATAATTGAAAGTTGTTCGTATCATGTAACGCTTCTTTCATTACATAAAAATTTACGTAGCATCATTTTATAACTACTAAATAAGATACACACGTGTAAATTTTATATAATGACTTGGAAGTGTGGTAGACAAGCATCATCGCAATAATAGAGCGAGAGATCATATATCCTCACTAGCTATGCTCAACGAGTTTGGCACTGAAAGTAGCCAATCTGGATATCTAATCAACAGTGACGACCAAATCTGAGCCCAACAAGAGATCTTGGAAGTTAAACATGATATATATCGAATAATTAGTCAATGAAGATGACAAGGTCCATCCTTATTTCATCACACAAAGAAAAGAAAGTAGATTAAAAACCCGTTCAAGTAGTTCCAACTCATTACTAGCTAGGAAGGAAAACCACCGGGGGGAATTAAAGGCAAGAGAAAAACAACCAGAATCACCACAAGACGCAAAGGAGAATGGTCGGGCGGGCGGTGACAAGGGTGTGTCGTCGGCCAACTTGCCGACCAGGAAAAGTAGCACAAATAAGCATGCAGACCATCTGAAAAAGCATAGGCAAGGGGGAAACATACATGAAAATCAAAGTAAAGTGGTAGAAGCTCCGACGACGACAATGCATGCATGCATCTCGATGGACCTCCCTTCCCTTGAATTAGGTAGGTACAGTTACGCATTGCAAAAACAACGACAAATACAGGGACGCACAGAGTTGTCTCAACCCAGGAAGCAGGTATCATAATCTTGACCGTCACACAAATATGGGTAATACCAATCACAACTATCGTCGTTGCAATACTGATTGCAGTATCCCTGTGTCGAATCCGTGTTATTGTTCGATGTTTGAGGTATATATAATGACTACACTTGTTCCTCTTTTAGGCTGTAGCTGGGAGCTAGGTCAAGTTTTGGTGGTTTCTGCGCCATGAAACAATAGTCACTCATTAATAAGATCGAGATGGGAAATTAAAAGACCGACATAGGCAGTGGCGGACCCAGGAATTTTATATAGCGGTGTCCTCTTTTAAAAAATAAATTAAATAAAAATAAAAAATAATTAATTAATAATTAATTCTTAAATAAGAAAATACCTGACACGTTCAAGTTAAAAAAAGTCCACAATGTATTTTCATATTTGGAAATAATTGTAGAATACACTTGATGTCTACACTGCTCAAAATAATTGTCTTTCTATAACCTACTAGACAATCATTTACGAACGGATCACATATTCGATTTCCGAACTTGTTCTTGATGTAACCCAAAGCTAAAAAGACTCTTTCAACACTTGTCGTACAACCATAAAATCAATACAAATTAAGGGTAGCTTGGAATTAGTTTAATTGTTAGGTTTTGAAAATAATTAGAAATAGCTAGGGAATGTCATTTTACTATTACACAGTGTTTAAAATCAAACAACAAATGAGTTATAGCCTAATAAAATTATGTTTAATGATAATAATAGTGTCCTAGGTTTGAATTATCCAAACTACCGCTTGTAGTCTCATGCACAAACTAAGAAATGAGAGTAGGATAATTATTTTTTCAAATTTCAGAGGTGTCCCCCATCAATTATAATTTTTTGGTCCATACTTAAATTATCACCGGGGGTTGAATAATCGTTATCCCAGAATTTAGGGGTGTCCCCAATGTGCCCTGGGTCCGCCACTGGACATAGGCCATGGCGTAACAAAAGCTATATATACATGCATAGCGCACACAAGTACGTACATATCTCGTACGTTCATCTCGCGTTAATTTATGAAACGTCTTGTACCATATGCACGATAATAAATACCAAAAATTAACTCTGTGCTACTGCTACATAGCTAAACCATACCATTATTCATGATTAACCAATGATATGGAAAAAAGTAGCGGCCGGTCAAAACATAAACCTGCAGAGATCGATCCGATCCGGAGGCAGTTTTACAATAAGTGAATAAACTATGTATGTATACCTGACGTTTTTCGAGTCGCCGGCATTCTCAGATTGCTGCCTAACTGCTCTCGAATCAATACAAGGAAGGATAAGAAGCAAGACGACGGCAAACTTAGCAATAGTACTGGTGGGGATCGCCATGGCACCTTTCTCGAATCAATATATCAATTTGGAAGGTTATAAGTTGTATGTATTGCATGTTGAGAAACTGCTGCTTAATTGTATTTGTGTATATATATAGTAACCATTCCAAGAGCAGGCATAGTTAGACAGAGAACTTCCTTCGCATATGAGCAGAAAATGTGATATGAACTTCCTTCGGATGAAGAAAACTCCGCCACTGGGCTGGCATTAATTGCTAGGTATAGCTGTAGATGAGACCTGAGAAGTCTATATCGTTCCCTTCACCCTAAACGAAAAACCTACGCTACGCACTACAAAGGGAGAGAAGAAGAAGAAGACAAACTGACTCCAACAAAACAATTACCCCTAAATTTCGTTACCCTTCTCGCCGGTCTACTTAATTTGTAAGTGTAGACGGGTGTAAAACTAAAATGATGATGCCGCAGTATTCGAGGTTGGACTGGACAGAAAATGGATGCCGTCGGCGTCTTTTTGGCAAGCTTGGGCCTTGTTGTGAGACGAGGAATATGTATGGGCTTGATACTTGTTGGTCTTGCATATATGGGCCTAAGCCACTTGGAGTTGGAGAGCGAACTAAACTATACATATCCCTCTATTCATTCCATTCCCCAGGCAACACGTAGCTTGCTTATCCCACCAACGGTTAGGGTTAGGCAACCAGTTTGACGAGATCAGTGCAGTGGTAGTTGAACGAATTGTTTAGCTTCTTGCCATTAACGTGAATACTCCACTGTACTACTTACTGCCCCTGGGCCCTGGGCCTGGTTGGCTGCTGCGACTGCTACAAGAAGCACGGAAACGAAACCGTGGACCGGTGTGTGGTGGGCTCCCCCGAGCAGTTGGACTGGGCCGGGCCTGTGCTTTGGCAGGTGGTCCACGTGTCTGCTAACTGCTGCAAAACTCGTGATACATGGGACCGACCGTTGAAGGAAGTTGCAGACAGGGACAACCGTCGGCCATGTAATGTATTGTAGTGTGATCAATGCAATGCGTGTTTTGGTGTTACCAACACCAATGATATGATCCCACCTGTGATTTTCCTTGGGTTCAACAAAAACATATAACACCTGATTTGATTTTGGCTTCCCCAAGTGCCGTGCGAAGGGAGTCGGTGTCGGTCAATGGAGCCAGCCGATGATGAGTTACCACCACCACTACTGCTCTTGCTGCCTAGCCTAGGGATGCATGGTAATTTCAATTTTCAAAATAACTCTTTGAACCCAACCTGTTTTTGGACGGATCGAAATGTGTATGGGTATATATTATTCTCGACATAATATGTAGGGGGTGTACATGGGTTGGGTGGTCCGGGTTTAGGCATTTTAATCACCCAACTCATGCACTACGGTTTGGGAAATATTAAACCCAAACCCACCCAAAAAAAATTAAACCCTACGGTTTGTTTTTAATTAGGTTGGGTCGGGTTGGCGATATTTTTAAGTAAAAACCCAACCCAACACAAAATATGTAATTATTATACATCATAAAAATATTTTATAACAAATTAAAAATTCAAACGAATAAACCGAGGCGAAAAGTATCAAAATTCACAAATATTGTTTGAATTTTAATAAAACTTAATTTACTTCAACTTTATGTCTAACTTTTAAAATTGTACACAAGAAAAAAATATGTGAATCATAGCTATATTAAATATATGTCTAAACTTTAAGTCGAAGAATGCATTAGATTAGTGAGACTTTAAGATAAAAACATGGCGAAATATCTTAATTTTCTCATAAGTATGATTATATACGACATAAATATTTTTTTGGATACGAACTCATACCCATAATTGGAACACGGGTTGGGTCGGGTTCTACGGGTTGTGTAATCCAAAATCCAAACCCAACCCAAAAAAGGCGGGTTGTACAAAAGAAAACCCTCACCCAACCCAAAACCTTCAATTTAGCGATAATTACGGGTGAATTGGGTCGGGTTGGACGGGTGGGTCGGTTTGCGGGTGTGTTTGTTCACCCCTAATAATATGTATTGGCTCCTGCCATTTTTTATCCATTCTTTTTCTTTCTTTCAAATTGCATGTCATTTTTTTCTTGTTACTCGGGATTTTACTTTTATTACCTCATATTTTAACTATAATAAAATTGTAAATAGGTGATGACCTCAAGTTTTTTTTTAATAATTTAACTACATTTGTCATATTATTGTTTGTTTCTTCATTTTTAATGAAAAATAAATAGTTCTAATAATTTTCTCTTAAATTATATATGGATATGGGTCGACTTGTCCCGATGTGCGCCCCATAAAAAATTAACGACTTGGATCTTATCTGCCATATGATATGTATGGTATTGAGATATCCAACCTCGAACTTGTCCCGTTGCCATTTTTATTGCCACATTAATCCCCCCGTTCAACATCTTTTTAACATATATTTCTCTTTCGGACTTATTTTGTTTCTTTCGTTCTTACTCTCTTTCTTGTTCTCAAATTCGTATTAATCATTACGCTCGTATCCCATAAAAATCCTACCTTACAAGGTCACGTGAATTTTCTCTTTCAATTCTGTTAAGTATAGCATAACATCTAACCCATCTGTTGGTCGGTCGAATACTTAGCTTGCTTCCATCTGGGTGAATATTTAGCTTAAGATTCTTGTTGGACCAAACTGAGTTGTGGGTAAAATGCAAAGAACAAGCCACCTAATGGCCTGTGTTGGCGTGTAACATGACAGGGCCGGTAGTTAGGAACTGGAAACTGAATTCTGTTGAAAAATTTCGTTACATTGGCATTAGACAGAAGAAAGTCCTAGACTTATCTTTGCTAACTAACTCACCCGAAGCAGCACAGAAAGAGTCAAGGCATTTCATGATAACATTGGCATTAGACAGGCAGGCTTGGGAAAACAACACTAAGTCGTCAGCAAAGAAGAGATGTGAAATAGCAGGACCCCAGGAGAAAGACACACAGGTTTCCAGTTTCCATCATTCACTTCTTGTAAAATACAATGGCTAAGACGTTCAATGCAAAGAGTAAAGAGACAGGGTGAGAGTGGACATCCCTGTCTTAGTCCTCTTGTAGGGGTGAAACTGTCTGTTTGTCCACCACTCCACAGAACTTGAAATGAAGTGGTTGTCACACAGGCCATGATGAGTCTGATGCAGCTACTGGGGAATCGAGCAGCCATAAGAGTTTCCTCGAGAAACTTCCAGTCAATTCTGTCATAGGCCTTGGCAAGGTCAATCTTGAGAAGCATTGTCCCTTTCTTACCAGTCTTCCTTGACATAGAGTGGACAGTTTCCTGCAAAATGATGATATTGTCAGTGATATGATGTTTTGGAACAAAACTAGACTGGTTGGGGTGCACCAGGTGTGGCATAAGATGTTTCAGATTATTGGCAATGCATTTGGCAATCACTTTATAACCCACATTGCATAGGCTAATAGGCCTAAAGTGGTTCATGGAGGAAGGAGAATCCACTTTAGGGATAAGAGCCAGCAGTGTTTCATTAATAGACTGGATTGTGCTGGGAATGGCAAAGCATTTCAGAACTAATGAAGCAAAGTCTGTCCCCACAGTATTCCAGCATTTCTGAAAGAATAAAGCATGGAAACCATCTTTTCCAGGGGCTTTAAGACCATTCATCCCCATCAGGACAGCTATGATATCAGCAATGTTTGGTGTTTTTCCAATTCTTGAGAGCCAAGACTCATCAACATGGGGAAAGAGGGCAGGTAACTGGATTCCTGAACAGGGAGCATCATTTGTAAACAGATTTACAAAGTGCTCTCTAGCCATGTCTTGGAGCATGGCAGGGTCATCAATCCAGTTCCCTTCTGCATCCTGCAATCTGGTGATTTTGTTTCTTTTTCTTCTGCTAAGAGTGCAGTTGTGGAAATATCGAGTATTGAGGTCCCCTTTCACTACCAGTTTGACCCTGGCCTTCTGCCTCCATAACAGCTCCTCTTGCCACAAAATGTCCTCAAGTTCTTCTCTGGTAGCCTTCTCTTTTTCCATAGAGCTTCTCGAAGGCTTCCTCTCATTAAACATTTCAAGTGATTTCAGAGCTCTGAACAACTCTTTCTTCCTCTTGTAGATGTTTCCAAAAACCTCCTTGTTCCACCCAGCCAGTTTCTTAGAGAGTTCCTTCATAGAAGAAAGAAAATCCTCTCCTGGCTTTCATTCCTGCTTCACAAACGGCTGAAACTCTTTGTGATCCAACCAGGCATCGAGGAAGTGGAATCTTCTTTCCATTCTTCTTAAATCAGGCTGCTGAATGGTGTCAGTCAGGATCGGCCTATGGTCAGACTTGAGCTTGGGGAGATGAAACACAGTAGTGGCAGGAAATTTTTGTTGCCATTCCAGGTTACACAAGCTCCTATCCAGCCTTTCCCTGAGACTTGTCGATCTGGTAAACCAAGTGAACATTGGTCCTTTGAACCCGAGATCAATAAACCCACACTCATCGATACAGTCCTTGAAGGCTTTAGCCTTGGCAGCATTGAATGGTGCCCCACCTTGCTTCTCTGAGGGCTTGGTGATAGAGTTGAAGTCTCCGGAGAGCATCCAAGGGATATTAGTACCACAATCAATGTTTCTCAGGCATTGCCACAAGTCCCTCCTATCATACTCATTTGGACAAGCATAAACAACCGTGAAGAGGAAGGTAGTTCTACCTCCATCAGTGCATTAAAAGTGGAGGAATTGCTTATGGTTATCCACAAGCTCCAGGTTGAGGTTGCTTCTGTTCCAAAGCACCCAGATTCCTCCACTGAAACCCACAGCGTCAGAAACTTTCCAGGTATCAAAGCCAATAGATTTGATAACCCTTTCAGCATCTCTGCCACTAATTCGTGGTTAAAGAATACAAACAACATCAGGTTTGAAGCTAGCCTTGTAGAGCTCCAAAGTAGACAAAAACTTGGGATGCAAGGCACCCCTACAATTCCAGGAAAGAAACTTAACCATTAAGGAAAAGGGGGGGGGTCTGTCCTGCAACGACCCGATGGGTCAGGAATCTCCTTTGTCGACGGCTAGTGCCGTCTTTTGAACCTCTGGAATCCTGCCTAAAGCAGACTCCTTCAATTCAATGGCATCTTCTGGCCTGTTGACTTTCTCTTTCCTCGGTGGATTGAAGTCAATCTTCCTAGGGACTGTTTCCCCAATGGTATGATTCTTCACTCCTTCCTTGGTGGATTGCTTATCCTCCTTTCTATCTGCCCCTTGCTTCATTTTTGGCTGGTGGCCAGATTTTGCTTCTGCAGCAACTCCTTTCCCCATTCCAACTTTTCCTGAAGCAGAAGAAGAAGAGACAAGGACTCCTAGCTTGTGTATCCTAGCAGGGGAGACAGCACCTTGAGTAGAAGTTCCTTTCCCAGCCTTATTACCTTGGATCTGGTTTGTCTTGATGGGGCTTGGTACCTTATCCTTATCCTTGCTTTGCTTAGGTAGCACCGGAGAAGCCTTCTGGTTCTCCTTGCGAGACATCCCCTTTGTGTTGGATTTCTGACCTTTACTAGCTTCCCCACTTGCTTTCCCAGTGTTCATCTTCACCTGTTTCCCTTCCTTAGTTGCTGCCTTTGTTGAAATTCCTGTCTGATTTTCCTGCTCTTGCTCCGTTTCCATATCATTGTTGTTCTGGTTCTCACCATGATTTTCTGTAATTTCTTCCCCTGTTTGAACATCAGTTTCAGTGTCTAAGGCGCTGAATCTCGAGCCAGAGGCTTTCCCTGTTGTCTCCCTGACTTCGCCATTCTCCTTTCCAGTCGTTTGTTTCTTTCTTTGTTGGTTGCCTTTCCTTTTCGTTCTGGTTGCCAACATCCATGGCCCAAAATCCTCCAAAATTTCTGGGCGAATTACCTGACTCGGGGGTGCTTGGTTAGCTTGTGTCCCTCCATCATTCATGCTCTGACTTTCCATGTTCTGTTTTTGTGAGCATTTCTCTGCAAGGTGACCGTAATGGTCACATTCAAAGCACACGATGTGCAGCCCTTCATATTCAATCCATCTCACCCTTCTTTTGATTCTATACTTGGACACTAACCTTTTTTGGAGATCAACTTCCACACAGATTCGGGCGTAGTTACCCCTGAATCCGTTGGCCGTGTTATAGTCAATCTTCTCCACCCTTCCAATTTTGTTGCCAATGTCATACAGGATGTCTTCATCAAAATAAGCTAACGGGAGGCGGGGGAGGCGGACCCAGACCGCCGTTCTGTTGATCGTGTCGAAGTCGGGATCGAAGTCGAGTCTCCATGGCTCCGAGACGATGTAGTGGTCTTCGATCGTCCACGGGCCGCCATACAGAGCTCGGTTGTGATCCAGCTGGGAATTAAAAGTTGCCTGAAAATATCCATTTCCAATATCACCCACCTTGAGTCCACCTGTCTTTGCCCACATTCGTTGAACCCTGCTCTGGACAAGGGCGAAGGGGAAGGTTCGGCCAAGGATTCTGAAAGTAATTGCAAGTCGCCATCTGTTGCAGATCTTGGCATTGGTTCTCTTTTTGATTCGGATGGTCGGACAGTCCGGATCATCCTCAGCATCTTCTGTTTATGATTCATCGGACATTAGGTCGTCGCCTTCCGGGATATCAACCGGTGGGCTGTTTCCAAGGAATGAATCTCTGTAGCTAGTTTTTTCCGCCCCTGGATTAAGTGCGGCAGAGGAGGGTGCCCCAGTGTTTTATTCGTTTGGATCTTCCGTGCTCTGCATCTCTTCGTCTTCCGCTCTTGCTGTGACAATGGCCATATCCATTTCTGCTCTCAACTCCGTGCTGGAGTTAGCCCTCGCTTTTTTGCTCGGCTGCACGAGAGAGGCAGTCGGCGACCCGTCGGGAGGCTTCAGGCAGTGGTCTTCCCCCGCAATGGGGGTTTGACTCGCAACGGTCATAAAATCAAACGAGGAGAGAGGCCAGAGCAAACCTCTTTCTAACTTTACCTTCTCTCTCTTGTCTCTGTTTTCTTTGGCCACATGATTATTTGTAAACAATGCTAGCGGCTTTTCTCGACTCATCTACACAATAAATAAAAGCCAAATAAGAAAATTTGAAGCCCCATTTCAAATTTTCTGCATCCAGAGTGAAAATAGGAACGACATCCAGAGTGAAAATAGGAAGGACGTTTTGGTCTTCACAATTACGTTTTTTTAATTCATTAAAAAGACACTTACTAGGATTCGAACCATGACCACTTTAAAGAAAAACAAAGATCATAACCATTCACACTAAGTACATTTGTTGTAATTTTTTAAATTAAAACATATAATCGCTGAGAGGAAAAAACCCTTCCCCTATTTCAAATTCCCTGCTCCATGAGCGTTTGTAGGAAGGGTATAATAGGGAGTGTCAATTTTTTTTTCTTTTTCCTCTGTGGAACGGGCCAACTTACCGTACACATGCGGATTTAAACGGGTCCAGGAGTGTCAATTTTTTTCTTTAAGTCCTTTTATTCTCCGTGGTGGTAAAATATATATGAAAAGGCAAAAACAATACTCCTTTTTATTGCTAAAAAGAAAAAAAATTAACGATAAACTAATGCATGGATTCTAATTGGCTAACTGCTAATCATAAAATAAAAGAGTTGAATGGGTCTGACCTACACGGGATTTACCCATCAAGTAAAACAAATGAACATCATAGGTTTGTCATTCTAAAACAAGCTATTTTCTCTAGCATAATATATATTATGCTATTATTTCATATCTTAGTGGCTAAAATATAATGTATTTTAAAGTTATTCAATGGTTCAACCTCGACAACCCAATTAGTCCAATTTTTATCGTTTCAAATATATATTATGTAATTATTTGATATCATAATGATTAAATTATAGTGTATATTATAGGGAATTGTTTGGTATTTGTTAGCAAAAAACTAAACAGAAAGATCTATATGGTTATTTTTAACATTAAAACGATCCTAAACATTTTCAGTTTCCTTTCGAAATTGTATAGTTTTATTCCCGAATCAGTGATGTGCAAATGGCGAATTGCAGTCATCTCTTTTCTTTCTTTATTTTTTAATTTCAAATAGAAAGTTTAAAAGTAAAGAATAATTAGAGTTTGGCATGGGTCGGTCAAACAGGCTGAATTTCAAGTTTTGGTCCGTTTTGATCAAGTCTAATTTATAATCACATGGTTCCCTGATACCCGATAAAAATCTCAATCCAAACCAGTTTGGCAGGTGAGTTCGTGTTTACCACCATCTTCTAGGGATAAAGGAACGGTGGTTCCTATCCCAAATCGTATTGTTCATTCTTGATTTCTTTATATTTTGTCATGGTTTGGCAGAAAACCAGAAAGCACAATGATGACAAGATGAAAGTTTTATAAAGCAAATTAATCGGCCAACGGGCCGAGTAAAAGCTAGCAACGATTGTGAGATGCTTATTTCCCGAAAACCAACGGGATAGGCGATTTTTTATTCGATTTTCTGGAATTCGGTTTCTATAAAACTTACTCTACCTCATCATATTACCAGAAACAATATTGTTTCACAAGGTAACAGATACTTGATTTTGGTTCATAAGGCTGATTTTTTATTCGTTGCATCATTCATGTCTCTTTCCTACTAAAATTCACTATTTTTATCACGTATTTCCAAAAAAACTATAAAACAATAAGCTATACACCTCATTACATTATCAAATTTCATCTCACCTTGCTCCGGTCAATGGCCGGGGCCTAGGCTAGTTAGTTGTTATATCCCAATAATCGATGTACAAGATGGGGCATTCTTGCTAAACCATCACCTAATCAATATAGTAAAAATCGTGTTTTAATGTCTAAAATCTTACAATTTTATTAGTGTAGATCACCAAAACAATTCTATTTAAAATCACACTTTTTACTTACAAATATAGTCAAAATCGCACTTTTAACATTTAAAAACTTACGATTCTATACTTCTAATTTATCAAAACGCTTCTACGTAATATCCTGATTCTAACCGCATTGCACCCAACCTGTTCAAATTATGATTCTAGCTTTTGAAATGCATGTGATCAAGGTTGTCGAACCGGTTTATACCGTTGTGCCGGTTTGGCAAGTGGAATGGTATGACCGGTGGTATAACCAGTTTGTGTCGGTTCATGCCGGTTTAAAAACATATGAAAACAATTAATATCCAATGTATTAATCGTATATAAGACATATTTGTGGACAATTTAGTTACAATCCAACTTTTAACTATTACATTCATAAAATGAATAATAAATTAATTTTTTTATTCATTAAGTTCATTAAAATGATGTCATTAAACTTAAATTGCGTAAGTCGATCATACCGGTCATACCGGTGATGTCATGCCGATTTCATGACCGGCACAGGTTGAACCAGGTTCAACCGGGTGGCATGCAGCGGCGGATCCAGAACACAGAAGAGCACTGGGCCGAGTTTCATTAGAAAATTGAATAGTAAAAAAACATAATGATTATAGTTTTTTTCAATGTAAATTGTACACGACGGTATTTTAATTTAGTGATGCATAAAATTTAAAGGCTAAATTTAGAGTAGTGATTTGAATATGGTCATCTGAATCATTTTTCTAGTTATACCCAATTTTATTATAAAATCACACTAAGCCGAATGCCTAAAATCAAAAAATTCATAAGGACTATACTAACTACGGATCCAGAGGAGGGCTGGGCCGGGGCCCGGGGTGGCCACCCCCTGGATGCGCTACTGGTGGCATGCCTCTGGCATGACAACCATGCATGTGATATTAGGGGTTGCCTGGTGTCAAAAAAACAAAAAGTCGTTGCTGGGCACTTTAATTAATAACACCTTTTCTTTGGAGTGCACTTTTTGGTTGGTTAATGAGACTTCTCCGCAACGCTTTTAGCGCAACCCACATGCCATGCAACCAAACCACAGCCAGCGCGACGGACACAAATTTGCCAAAATGGAACCCAACCAATATTGAGCCGGCCCTTCTGCTGGCCGCTCTTTTTTCTTCATAAAATGGGTCCTTGTCTTGCCATACGTTAAAATGACATGTGAAGTAGTCATCAAGTGTCAAAAAGGAAGGAAAAAAAACTAATTAAACATAGCAAAGTAGGTTTGATAACTCCCATTGTATTGACTAATCTACACTTATTAAATACAAAATGGCTTTCCCATCAATTATCAAACCACAGCAAGTGCAGTTAGTTAGTTAGTCTCAATTGTAGGTGGAAGATGTAACCCCGCGATGGAGTACCATCTAATTGAACAACCGCAACACACACATATACCATCAAAGAAAATTTCCACTTAATCTCTCTCTCTCTCCCTCTCTATCTAAAGTAGCATGTATGCCTATGGCAATTTTTTCTTTTATAATATATAAATGAAAGCCGACCTCACCCTTTTCCTGAGCTATTGATGGAAATCTCTAAATGGTTGTTGCATGCTAACGACAACACTGCGAGTCAAGGTGAACTCTGTCTGTGTCTGATGTGTCCATGCCCAACTTTTGATGGCAGCTGAAATCCGTGTGCACTGCCTCCAAACTCTGTTCGGGTTATAGATGAACTGATCAAGTACTCAAGGTAATAGCGAACGTTGTTGTGTAGCAGCCTCCTGCATGATCTTTATGATAAGGATAATTCTTAATTACTTTGTAATTATATTATGTCATGTACTTAGTGGTTAGTTATCTCCTTCTTTGTAGCTACGTGGGATGGCTTTCAGTTGTAAAGTGTATATAAAACACTATTCCCATATCTAATAGAGATTACATATTCCAGCAATCACATGGTATCAGAGCGGCGGTTCTGATCTCCTTAACCCTAATAGCTGCCACAAATCACGTCTTCTTTCTGTTTTCTTTCTTCCCTTTCAGCCAAATCAAGACACCATCCCTCGATGTACCTCTCTTCTGCCCAGATTTCTTCTCGTCTCATCATGGAAGGAAACTCCGGCGAATCTGTGATCAATCTCAATGATCCCACCCAAATCATCGCGCTTAACCCAGCGTCCCAACTTCCCACCAAGCTGTCCGGCGGCAACTTCCCCACCTGGCGGGCACAACTGTTCACCCTTCTCCGTGGCCTCGATCTTCTCCGGTTTCTTGACGGCACGCATCCTGAACCAGCAGCCACTGCATCTGCTGATGTCCGCACTCACTGGTTCCAGCAAGACCAGCTCCTACTTCATGCTATTCTTGCCTCTGTGTCACCGGCTATCGCTCCTTATGTCTCTGACGCCGCAACCTCTCGCCAAGCCTGGACGATCCTGGAGCGAATGTTCCCCAGTCAATCTCGACAACGAGTCATCAATCTCAAGGATAAACTCAGTCAAGAGAAGCAAGGCAATCGTCCCGTCTCTGTCTATCTCCAAGCAATGCGTACCACCGTTGCGGAACTCGCCCTTGTTAATGCTCCAGTTGCTCCGGAAGACCTAATACTTCATGTGCTTCGCGGGTTGCAGGAGGAATTTGGTCCGCTTGCTGCTGCCGTTCGTGCTAGGGACACGACCATTCAGCTGGAAGACCTTCATGATCGTCTCGTCGATTACGAAGCAGATTTGGCTCGTCTTCCTCAGTCTGTTGCTCCCACAACTGCTTTCTCTTCGATTCGTGGCCGTTCTCAGCATCCTTTCTCTCGCTCTCCCGGTCAGCATCGCCGTGGTTCTACTCCACCTCCCTCCTATGCCTCCGACACTTATTCCCGCCGTGAGTCCAGCCCGCGTTCACCTCATGGTCACTACTCTCCTCGCTCGTCTCAAGGGAACTACTCCAGCCCGCCTGCTCCCTCTATACTCGGCCGGCCCCAGCTGCTCTGTCAGTTTTGCGACAAGACTGGTCACTAGTCGAAAGAATGTTTTCGCATTCGTGGCCGTCCCCAAATGCACCATACCTCTGTCGCGTCCTCCTCCCCTACCGGGTGGCTGGTTGATTCTGTGGCTACAAATCATATGACCCCTAACCTTGGCAACCTCTCTCTTTATTCTGATTACGCTGGTCCTGACGAAGTGCTTATCGGTGATGGGTCAGGTTTGGCTATTACTGACTCGACTCTACTGTCACCCTAGGAATTGGCCAAGTGAAACCACTTCCTAAAGCGTAGTATAGCGGGTTAGGTTTATATGTCAACCCGGGTCCTAGATCTGATGACTACTCGGTGAATTCTTGTTATCTAGCAATGAAACTGGAATGCAAGTCTAAACTACCAAACAAACAAAGCAAGTAAACTGTTGTATTCAGGTTAAAGAGGTCACCCGGATATGGTTCCCCCTAGACTGCAGTTAAGCCGGATTGTAATTACCAAGTTCAGTTTCTATGAAAGTTATACTGCGGAAGATTCTTAAACAGTCTGAAGTCTCGACTAAAGGTCTTCAGACCCTCTCAATCTGAATTTCTAGCGGGCGACTAACCTCCACCGGAGTAGACAGATTGAGGCCTTAACAAACAAAACCTCCACTACCAGAGTAAATTCGGTACAGAATAGTGAGTTGGTTCCTCGACTAAAGTCACCAACTCCCTACCTTCAATCAAGGATACTCTATCAACCTAGGCAGATATTCTCATTCTAGGTTAAAGCAGAAACAACAGGAATTTGATCAGGATTCAAGTCATTCAATCATTAAAACCTCAATCGAATATAATCAATCATAGAATCAGTACTTGGGTTCATACAATCAAAGCCTAACATACAAATCTAGGGTTCTCCATACCCAGATGAATGGGAGAACTACTCCATGGAGAAGAAAGCAAAAGCAGAATCAGACCCGGAATTCATGCTGCGAAGGATGGATTCCTGCTTCTGGACGTTGATCGGCACTTCTCCAAGCTCAAGCTGGCCTCCAATGGTGTTGAAGATCAATCTAGGGCACTTGGGAACTCTTGCTCGTCACTTTCTCTCTCTAGAAGTCGTTCTTTCTCTCAAAAACTCGAATCCCCTTGACTTGTGGCTGAAAATCTGCTTAAAAGCATCAGTGGCCAAAGCACGGTCGAGGGCACGGCCGTGCTTTGCCTGACTCCGCCCGTGTCTCGGCCAAGGCTTAATTACACGGCCAGCAAGTGGGTTAAACACGGCCGTGCTTCGCGTTGGACACGGCCGTGTTATGCTTGAACACGGCCGTGCTTTGTCTCGGCCTTGCCCGTGTAATCAGCTCAGCTCTCGGCATAAAAAGCACGGCCACCAGAACACGGCCGTGTAATGCCTTAGGCTGCCCATGTTTTGTCTCCAGCTCACTGAAATGACTTCCGAATGCCCCGAAACTCGTGGTTAGCCTTCCCTTTGACACCTGGGACCTGAAATATGACAAAATAGCACAACCCTGCGTAAAATAGGCCACAATACACGACTATGCCCCTCAAACGGATAAGAACTAGGGGCGCAAATATGTGCAATTACATCGTTATCAAATTCCCCCACACTTAACTGTTTGCTTGTCCCCAAGCAAACCTAACTCAAACCAATGCAACTCTCCAGACCTCTATAGCAACAAACAACCCAGATCGTAGGTAGAGGACTTCCTAGATCATTTAGCAACTTACGAGGTCAACCGACGCACAAGTCATCTCATAGCTTCTTCGGCGAGAGCACTAGTATCGAGTCGGCATCATGGCAAATAGTGAACAGAGGACAAATGAATTGTGGATGAAGAGTTTCTCAAAAACAAAGGATCATGGACTCACATTTTTCAAGGTGCTCTATACATGGATGTTTGGGGGCCTTCGCCTATTTTTTCACATGATCATTTTTCATACTATTTAGTCATTGTTGACCATTTCACTCGTTATACGTGGCTATATCCTATGTCTCGCAAATCTGATGTCCATGCCCTCTTTACCACCTATACTGCGATGGATGAAAATTATTTTAACACCACCATTCGACGTGTTTATAGCGATGGTGGTGGTGAGTTTCAAAAACTGTGTTCGTTCCTTCAAACTCGTGGAATCGCCCATCTTTTAACTCCACCTCATACTCCTCAACACAAGGGTCTTGCCGAACGTAAACATAGACATATTGTTGAAATTGGTCTCGCCCTCCTCCACACTGCTAATCTTCCTCTTTCCTTTTGGTCCCATGCCTTTCAAACCGCTACCTATCTGATCAACCGTCTTCCCTCATCTACCCTCCATGGCCTTACCCCATTTTTTTTTCCTTGTTTAATGAACAACCCAATTACCTCAAGCTCCGTGTCTTTGGCTGCGTCTGCTACCCTTGGCTACATCCCTATTCTGCCCACAAGTTGACTCCTCGTTCCCGTCGTTGTATTTTCTAGGCTATTCCCTCTCTCAAAGTGCTTATAAATGCTATGATCCGACTTCCCATCGAGTCTTTTTCTCTCGCCATGTCATATTTGAAGAATCCCTCTTCCCTGGTCTCCCTTCCCCCACGTCTACTCACTATGACACACCCTCCTGGATTGACTTTACTACACCACCCATTACCATTCTTCACTTACTCAACTCACCGAACCACCCACAGGCCCCGTCGTCGACTGCTTTATCGCCATTCTCTACGCCGGCTCATAATCGCTCTGCTGCCTCCACCTCTGGTGTGTCCCCTGATGCTACTTCCTCTGCGCATCGCCATGAACCACCTCCACCGCCGGCTAAGGCACCTCGCCGACCCACCACCTGCAGCCAGCATGGGATCTTTTGCCCCAAGAAATTATTTGCCTCGCAGGTTGGTCCTCCTGTCGAGCCCACTTCGGTCAGGCAAGCGCTCAAAGACCCCCGTTGGAATGAGGCTATGCAGGCAGAGTTTCATGCTTTGCTCTCCAATCGGACGTGGACCCTCATTTCCCGTCCACTCTCCTGCAACATCATCAACTGTCGCTGGATTTTTCGCATAAAATGGAAACCGGATGGCTCGGTTGATCGATTCAAGGCACGACTTATTGCCAAGGGCTTTACCCAGCGCCCTGACATCGATTTTCATGATACATACAGTCCGGTTCTCAAGCCGGTCACGATCCGCACTGTGTTCACTATTGCTCTTTCTCATCACTGGCCGATCTTACAGTTCGATGTTAATAACGCATTTCTGCAGGGCTCTCTTGATGAAACGGTATACATGGAACAGCCGTCGGGTTTCCGTGACCCTGCCTATCTCGATCATGTGTGCTGTCTTTCTCGTGCCATCGATGGGCTTCGCCAGGCTCCTCTCTCCTGGTATATGGCTCTATCAGGTTTTCTTGAGCAGGAAGGGTTTATCAAATCCAAATCTGATGCATCTTTATTCATCTACCACAAAGAGGGGGTCACTATGTATTTCCTTGTCTATGTTGATGATCTCCTGCTTACTGGTAATCATGGTGCTTCTCTAGCTTGTTTTCAACAACGCCTCGCGGCCCGGTTTTCTCTCAAAAGTATCGGCAATGTTGGCTATTTTTTGGGTATCGAGGTCCTTCCCTCCGCCTCAGGGTATTTGTTGTCTCAGTAGAAGTATGTCCTAGATCTCTTACAACGCTTTGGTATGGCCGATTCACATCCTGCTCCCACTCCTTTATCTTCAGCCTCCACCCTCAAGCTCATTGATGGGTCTCCGCCGGCGGATCCCACTCTCTACAAGCAGGCCTTGGGCTCTCTTCAGTATCTATTGTGCACCCGCCCTGACGTCGCCTTTGCGGTGAACAAGCTTTCGTAGTTTATGCATGCGCCCACCCAGCTACACTGGCAACATGTCAAACGGCTTCTTCGTTATCTCTGTGGTACATCTTCTCTTGGCCTTCGTCTCAGTCCTGTTGATACACCCACTCTTCTCGCCTTCGCCGATTCTGATTGGGCGGGCGATCCTGATGATCGCACATCCACTATGGGCTACCTCATCTACTATGGTGGAAATCTTATCTCCTGGAAGTCTAAGAAACAACATTCAGTGGCACGTTCAAGTATGGAGGCTGAATATCGCGCGCTCGCTCTACTGCGACAACCTCGGCGCTGTCAATTTCTCCGCCAACCCCATTCATCACTCGAGGATGAAGCATTTAGCCCTCGATTATCTCTTCGTTCGCGAGCTTGTCCATTCCTCGGCCCTTCATGTCCGCCATATTCCCACAGCACACCAGCTAGCGGACTCATTAACAAAGCCGCTCCCCATCACTCGCTACCAGCTTCTTCGTTCCAAGATTGGCGTCGTACCCTCCTTCATCTTGCGGGGGCGTGATAAGGATAATTCTTAATTACTTTGTAATTATATTAAGTCATGTACTTAGTGGTTAGTTAGCTCCGTCTTTGTAGCTATTTGGGATGGCTTTCAGTTGTAAAGTGTATATAAAACACCACTCTCATATCTATTAGAGATTACATATTCCAGCAATCACACTTTAATCGATCCATCAAATATTGCATGATTTATGATGAACCGACGCTCTCGGTTCGAGAGTTGCTTGTAGCTCTCGGTTCGGAAGTTGCTTGTCTGCAAGGACAAGATCGTTCCTTACCAGACCCATAGATAGTGCCAAACTCAAGTCCTCTGTGCGGCCGACGTCAAAGATATTGGAGGAACCAATCATTTAATTAGTGTTGGTAGTTAGAAGTAGGGATGGCAACAAAACCCGAACCCACGGGTACCCACCCGATCCAACCCGGTCAACGCGGGTAAAATCCATGTTGACGGGTTTTGAGTCGGGTTCGGGTTTAAACCCGCTACACTATTCATCGGGTGGGTTGGGTTTGGGTTTAGGTAAATCCGCCCCATGGGTACCCGCCCACACACATATAATTACTTTCCCAATATATTTAATATTCTAAATAATATATCTTCCTTAAACAACTAATATTCTTTATGTTTGTGGAGACATGTATAATTTGTTCTTTCTAATTGCTTAGAATGAAGTTGATATGATGAAGTGGAGAGTGAAGAAACTTAGTTGACGAGTAAGAAGCTTTCAATTAATCTTATTGTTTATAGATGTTTATCTTTAATTTTAAACAATTTGTATTGATCATTTGCGGTTTGCTTGTATGCTCTAGATTGGTGTTTTTTGTATGATTAATTTGTATGAGAAAATTGATGTTAAACTTTTATTTTGAAAGAAACTTGTTATTGTAAATTTTTTACCACAAAAACCCACGGGTACCCATGAACCCGCGGATATCCATCGGGTTGGGTTGGGTTTGAGTTTTTCAAACCCAACGAATTTTACTCCGGGTTTTTTTGGCGAATAAACCCATGGGTTTGGGTTTGGGTTTGACAAAACCCGCCCCAACCCGACCCATTGCCATCCCTAGTTAGAAGTAGGGGGTAAGTAATATGCATTAAGTTAACCCAAAAACGTTCAGGGTTAGTGGGGGCCAATAGAATTTTGTTTTTATATAGCCAAAAAGATATTAAAGTCCAAGCCAAGGTTGTCAACCCGCGGGTTGACCCGGACCCGGTTGAGCTAGTGGGTCAAGGGTTAATGGGTCACCCGTTTTAGCCCGGTTTAGCCCGGAAATATGGAAAGCGCCATTATATTGTACTTATCCTGATAAATTATATCAAATCTCATATAACATATGAGTTATAACATATAATATTACACCGAAATAACATTTCGTACTTAGATTCAACATATAGTGAAAATTCACGCACACTTATATAACATTAATATTCAAATGTTTAACTTAGGATTCCAAAGATTGAGTTAGGCGAAAAGAAAAATCAGAAAATAGGCGCATTTCGCAAAACAAAGAAAAAAATGACACAATTTGACCTCCAACCCGGTACCTTGTGGCGGTCGACCCGGCGGGTGCGTGCGGCCCGTTTTTCTCACCGGTCAGGGTCAAAGTGGGTCAACCCGCGGGTCGACCCGCGGGTTAACAACCTTGGTTCAAGCTAAAAGACAATGCAATTTGTCCATTTTTTTCACATTTCTCATTTGGAAGAAAATTATCTTCTAATATAGAGTTTAAAAGAAAATAGTCAAGGATTAATCCTCAAATTACCACAAGTCACTCACAGTATTGGTGGCCAAATTTGCTTGGATGAATAGATCATCTATTTTCGTAAATATTTCGTTTAATACGCATTTACATGAACGTACATATTTTATGCACTTAAGATTTCTGTTTTCGTACTATTGTCAAATCGTGTCATTTTTTCTAATCCATTTTATAGTTATCATACTAAATACATATAACAGCCATATAACACATGTAATATTTTTATTTATTAAACTGAATTGATAATTTGAACATTAGTTATGCATTAATTTTTGGAATAGTTACTTTTGTATATTTGTTTATTATTGAAGTGATATAAGATATATCATTAATTTAGAAATCAAGTAAAATGCAAATATATATTTTATATGTAACTTAGGTTACTAACTATCAAATTTATGAGATATGTGGAAAATTGTATCAACCATGGAATTCAATATCATAACCAAATCCTCCAAACTAATACTACAAACAAATTAAAGATTAATCAGTTTGGTTAATTGATTAACCACTATAACATCACATTATCGTTAAGAGAAAAAAAATTGAATTAATGCTTCAATTTGAAATTTATATAATGAATAAAATATGACAATCAACAAATAACTATAGTTACCTTAACATAAATACGTGCATCTAATACATTTATCTTACGATCAGTATACACCTAACAAAAATATATGCCAACGATATGGGGTTAATGAATTGTTGTGTTCGTCTGAATTCAC